TTTATTTCGGGTGCATTACTCCATGTTCCGTTGGTCAAAATAGTATTGAAACAATCGTGATAAAAAATAGCTTAAGCACATCATTTGGCAATTAACTTGCCATATCACTCTATCTACAACAACATGCAGGAAATCTAGATGGCTTTAGTATATTTTAATTGAAACAATAATAATGTAGATAAATTGCTCACTCCATGTTAAAAACAAAAAAATAGACAGTTGGGACACCTTTCACCTGAGCACATTTAAGTAACGAATGAATATCTGCAAGTTTTTAAAGAAAGTATCTACGTTAGGACGTTTATCCCGTACCCATGTATTTGCATTCCCATATTACACATGAAAGCGCTCATTATTAATTGCAATAACTGGGTTTTGGGCTGACTTCTAAGAAATACAGAATGCTGAAATATCCCAGGACTTTAGAAATTATGTCTCGTTTGCAAGCCGTACTGTGCCTTGGCATGATCACATATTAGGAGTCTCCATTAGCATAATATATGTTGGTGGAGGGACAAGCATTGACCGGTTACGAAACTCTCGACCCATTGTACCTTGTGGCTCAGTCTGGAGCCTCAACAAGAAGCATAAAACGGCAGAAAGACATAAACCGACAAAGGAGAGGGAGATTGGAATGGCCCTTTGTGGATTATTAGTCCTCATCAGCCAGCCAGTCCTATTCAAAACCCCGCGGAGCTGGAAAATGAGCCCAAGACGGAACGGGATGAGTGACTTCCGTAACCAATCGGTGAACTGCTTTAACAAATGTTACTATTCCCGATCGAAATCGGCAAAAACGGGCCTACGTCTAACTCTTTAGAGCGTTGGAGTGGGTGTAGCTGGCTGACGGCGACTACTAAGCCAGAAGTGGTCATTCCAGTGTTTCATCCTTTCGGAAATATATATGCTTAAGCTGGAAGCAATATGTATGGGACAGTCATGATATTCTGAGTCTAAAATAATAAACGATAAACTGGGTTTAACTGTTAACGTTGAAGTACGCGAATGATCAAAACTATTTTAATTTGGAGGTAAATCGCGAAATTCTGTTGGTTTTTGTTATGTACTGAGAATGGTATACATTTTCACCATGATTCCCGCCTGCTATTCAGAACCCTTTCCATTTGGACATTTGTCTTACCCATAAAAAGCATTTGAACTGTTCTGAGCAGAAAAATAAGAAAGTTCGGTTTAATTCCAGTATACATCCGCAACACTTTCGCACTCGGATAAAAGTTCAGGCTTCCATTCATAGAACGTGAAGTACAGACTACGATTCATTTTAAATTCTTGTTTGCGTATACAAATAAGTGTACAACCCGGGCGGATGTGGTCATGACAGCAGAATTCGAAACGTTGAACTCTGGACCATACGATTAGTTTTTCTATTTATTTGAGAATGCATGCTTGTTCGCGGGGTCATTTCAGAATTTCCGCTATGGTAACCGCATTTATGGTTAGGGAATAGTCGTTACAAGTAGGTACGACTGGGCGAGCAAGATTGCCACTACGAGACCACGTCTGTGGCGTCAGGAGTTGGGAGGGCGTCGAGCAGCAGCGACCACTACAGACCTACGGGATTGTGACAGAGTTTTTCACAAAAGGACTGTTTCGTCAGTTTTGTTTGCATTGGAGAATTACAGCACTCTCGCATATAGCAGGTCGCATAACCAAG